CTGTGATATAAATAATCCTAATCCAACGTGCTTTATTTACAGCTCTGACTGCTAAATGTAGAATAGTTACTGTTGTTGTGACTCTATACTTGCCCCATTCACATTCAAACGTAATGACGATCTCTACAGTCAGTAGTTTGTCAGCTCTGCGCTGCCGTAGCACAAAGATTTCTGCCTCCATTAATCAAAGACCAGCTCCTATATAATTACAAATAGCAATATATAAGGTAACGCAAACATAAAGATTGAGAATTTAAGTTTGTAGAAGATAATAAAAAACATCCTTGAGTTTAATAAATTACATTGTAGTCAGTATTTCCCTGTAATTATTGCTCATTAAAGCTTTTAAAAATAACTTTTTAAGGGCTCATACAATTTTATTGACTTTGTACAGCTCCCTCTGAAATTTCTCTGCACCCCCCCTCATTGGGAACCACTGGTGTATGGTAAGATTATACTATTGGGTGATCTATTAAGCTATATTAACAGGCCTAGATTCTGTGTTCATCCTGCTTTAATTCTCTTTTAGTAGTGAAGTGATTTGGGTTGATCAAAGTAAAGTTATCTAATCCAAAGATATTCAAATTTAATCAATTAAAACCTTTAAAACAATCAACCATCTATTTAACATGTGGTTAAATACCCTGGCACTGCTGATGCGGGTTTCCTGCTTCATGCTGTTATTCAGGGGACAGCCCATACTTCCTGATCGATCCATCAGGAGCACAAACTCTCCGCAAGAGGGAAGTGATGACATCACAGATTGGGGGAACTCAGGGTACAAGCTCACCATCACCACTGGATCCCCCATCAGAGAGCCTGAACATTTTGAAGATTGAATAAAAGGAATAAGAATAGAGCTTCGGATATATTCTAACATTTAAATAGAATATGAACTAATCTGTTCTCACCAGGTTTGGCAGAAGCCTGTCCTGCCTCCACCACAGCAGTGGGCTGGTGGGCATCTTTGTAATAAATCAGCAGTTCAATGTCTCTGTCAAACTTGTGTCCTGCAGCCA